TTAAATTCGACCTTGTCTACCGATTGGTTCTTTTTGTAGCTCAAGCGGTAAGGCACGTCAGCGTATATGACGGTTCCGTATAGGATGCAGGTTCGAATCCTGTCAAAGAACGAAAATTTTCTATGAAAATTTCTCGGACATTCAGGCCGGTAAATGTTATTTAATACTGTTTATCATAAACAGAGCATTTGCTTAAATACTTGTATCTATAAAATAACAACGTTAAACATAAAATATGTCTTTAATAAATAAAATATAAATTGAATTCTGCACAAATAAATAAACAACGCTAGTAATTGAGATAGAAAATAAGTGGAATACAGACTTGAAGTGAAGATTAGTAGTCCAGGAATGCGGGTTAGTAGAAAGTATATGTACAATTTAATCATAATATATATATATATATATATATATATATATATATGAACACCCTGTGTCTGGATTCAACAGCAGGTATTCTCTCTGTCAGTAAAAGTATACTTGACGAGTCCATCTTTAAAAAGGAAAGAGCCCCACAATAATATATATGTATATGATTACATTTTTCAATTACTCACTGATGTTAAGTCATTGCTATACAATTAGCGAATACGATATACTGAACAGTGAACTAAAATACGTATGACAACACCATCATGATGTTGTGGCATGTGAGCGTGTGGAAAGCAGACCTAGGAATACCAAAAGGCTATTTTCATGAACATCTATTTCTAATTTGATCTTTAAAAATTCGCCTGACTATGGAAAAATGGAATAGCCATGGATATTTTGGTTAAAAGTTTTAAAATTAGCATTTAATTCCTTTTTAGATTCATAATCTAGCTGCCTAGCAGATTTTCAAATTTCACTAAGTCTGCAACAACACAGCTGCAAGCGTGGCTAGTGTGCAATGTCAGAAGAAATGTCACCTTGTAACGTTTACCGGCCACCAGTCACGCTAGATCTACCCCAAATAAATTGTTTTATGGAAGAAGAATACAACAGGATACTATATATATAGCGCCCCCCCCCCCCCGACAGCGAAAAAGGGCTTTATATAATTTTTTTTTTTTTTTTTTTTTGTATATATACCTTAGGTCCCCAAGGGACCCGGAAAGAAATGTAAACGCCAGAAATCAAAGAAAATAAAAATAATAATAATAATACCCTTATCAAGCACCACAAAGAATAAGCTGAAATAATCGCTATAAGAATTTGGAAATGGTCGCTTTAAAAGAGTTGGGAAAATTAAATTCTACTATATAGGAAAATATTAATCTTCCCTGACCTAGAACCTGACCTCCTAGCCACCAATTACAGAATCGGACCTCAAAACAGCAGGTGGTTGCGTCTCTGTCAGGATAAGACAACCGGATGACATGAAGTTGTAGAAACGTTTGGACAGAGTCCAGCGTCTTCATGAAAAAAAAAGGAAAATCCCCGAAACCACATACCTTCCCGACCGAAATTAATTTCATAAAGTCAAATTTATGTATGAAAAATGACCTTGTGTTTAACGGGCATAACTAATAAAAAATATTACACGAATCTAAAACGATTAATGTTAAAGTACAGTGAAGAGATACTTATTTGGCTGGAGACCTATAAGAATGGACGTCTGATTCCTGTGAGGGAACTCACCTCACTGAACAGTGTGCTGATGGTGAAGTGACAGTAGATATTAACAAACATACATCTGTGAGCGCAAACACAACTGAGTACCACACACACTACTAATGGTAATCACATCTACGCTAACCGTTGAATACGAAAGCCTGTCACAAGGTATTTGACCAGATTAAAGTTAGACATAAATGGGTGTTAATCTGCGAACTATAAAAGAGAAGAAAAAAGTAAAAAGAAAAATTTAAAATAACGTTTACCCGGCCAACAGTATAGATCTACCCAAAATAAATTGTTTTTATGGAAGAAGAATACAACAGGACCGGTGCGTACTATCCCCGACAGCGAAAGCGCCCCCGCCCCCCGACAGCGGCCCCCCCCGACAAATGGACTGGAAATCTTCCCTCGCCACATTCTCGCACATTGAAAGAACTGTTCGTACGCTGCATCATAAGTTTGAAGCACTGCTCTATACAGAAACAACTTTTAAAAATAATAATAATAATAATAATATCAACAATCCCTGTCGTAGTTGGAAAATTGGTTGGAAAAATGCAGTAGACTAATTGGATATTTCCATGCCTCAAGGAGATACAAAAATTGTTCTTACAAATTAGGGCTTTAACTATGTATTTTTTTTCTTTTTTTAGAAAGTGTCATGGTGCCAATAACCTTAGGTCCCTGGGCGGGACCTAAAGCCAGAAATCAAAGAAAATAATAATAATAATAATGTTTACTTATCAAGCACCACAAAGAATAAGCTGAAATAATCGCTATAAGAATTTGGAAATGGTCGCTTTAAAAGAGTTGGGGAAAATTGAAATTGCTACTATATAGGAAAATATTAATCTCTTCCCTGACCTAGAACGTGACCTCCTAGCCACCAATTACAGAATCGGACCCAAAAGATGTAAGTGGTTGCGTCAACTTAAAAAAAAAAAAATCAACCCAGCTGCACATAGGATAAGACAACCGGATGACATGCAGTTGTAGAAATGTCCAACTCAATGAGAGAAATACCTAGCGTCCTCACGATGAACGTTCAAAGAAAAGAAACCACAACCTTCCACGACCGAAATTAACATAAGGTCAAATTTATGTATGAAAAACTTGGCCTTGTATTGCTAACTATTCCTAAAAACGATTAACTTAAAAAGTACAGTGAAGAGATACTTATTTGGCTGGAGACCTATAAGAATGGACGTCAAATAAGGGAACTCACCTCACACAGATAAAAGAAAAAATCCTTTACTCAGCGGAAGCAAGCAGTGTGCTGATGGTACGTAAATAAGTGACAGTAGATATCAACAAACATACATCTGTGAGCGCAAAACAACTGAGTAGCGCGCGTACACACACTACTAACTGGTAATCATATCCACGCTAACCGTTGAATACGAAAGGCCTGTCACAAGGTATTTGACCAGATTAGAGTTACATGCTTCGTACATAAATGGGTGTTAATCTGCGTTACAAATCCTGGTAAAAAAAAAAAAACAAGTGAAAAACCGACTATTTAAAAGAAAAATTTAAAATAACGTTTACCCGTACCAGTCACGCTAGATCTACCCCAAAATAAATTGTTTAATTTTTTTTTTATTTTTTTGGTCGCCACATTCTCGCACATTGAAAAGAACTGTTCGTACGCTGCATCATGACGCTCTATACAGAAACAACAACAACAATAATAATAATAATAATAATAATAATATCAAACCCTGTCGTAGTTGGAGCCCTAGGACTGGTTGGAAAAGATTGCAGTAGACTAATTGAAGGGATTCCTGGAAGTCCATGCCTCAAGGAGATACAAAAATTGTTCTCACAAGTACAGCCCACACCTTACGAAGGGCTTTAACTATGTAATTTTTTTTTTTTTTGTCAGTGAAAGTGTCATGGTGCCATAGAAATCCCTGGGCGGGACCTGGAAAGAAAATGTGTAAACGAAAATCAAAAAAATAATAATAATAATAATGTTTACTTATCAAGCACCACAAAGAATAAGCTGAAATAATCGCTATAAGAATTTGGAAATGGTCGCTTTAAAAGAGTTGGGAAAATTGAAATTGCTACTATATAGGAAAATATTAATCTCTTCCCTGACCTAGAACGTGACCTCCTAGCCACCAATTACAGAATCGGACCTCAAAAGATGTGAGTGGTTGCGTCAACTTAAAAAAAAAGGAAATCAACCCAGCTGCACATAGGATAAGACAACCGGATGACATGAAGTTGTAGAAACGTCCAACTCACATGAGAGAGAGCAGAGTCCCTAGCGTCCTCACGAGAAAAATCGAACGTTCGAAGAAAATCCCCGAAACCACATACCTTCCACGACCGAAATTAATTTCATAAGAGTCAAATTTATGTATGAAAAACTTGGCCTTGTATTGCTAACGGGCATAACTAACAAAAATATTACACGAATCTAAAACGATTAACTTAAAGTACAGTGAAGAGATACTTATTTGGCTGGAGACCTATAAGAATGGACGTCTGATTCCTGTGAGGGAACTCACCTCACACAGATAAAAAAGAAAAAATCCTTTACTCAGCGGAAGCAAGCAGTGTGCTGATGGTACGTAAATAAGTGACAGTAGATATTAACAAACATACATCTGTGAGCGCAAACACAACTGAGTAGGCGCGTACACACACTACTAACTGGTAATCACATCTACGCTAACCGTTGAATACGAAAGGCCTGTCACAAGGTATTTGACCAGATTAGAGTTACATGCTTCGTGCATAAATGGGTGTTAATCTGCGTTACAAATCCTGGTAAAAAAAAAAAAAAAAACAAGTGAAAAGACCGACTATAAAAGAGAAGAAAAAGGTAAAAGAAAAATTTAAAATAACGTTTACCGGCCACCAGTCACGCTAGATCTACCCCAAAATAAATTGTTTTATGGAAGAAGAATACAACAGGACCGGTGCGTACTATCCCCGACAGCGAAAGCGCCCCCGCCCCCCGACAAAGCTGGACTGGAAATCTTCCCTCGCCACATTCTCGCACATTGAAAAGAACTGTTCGTACGCTGCATCATGATAGTTTGAGAAGCACTGCTCTATACAGAAACAACAACAACAATAATAATAATAATAATAATAATAATATCAACAATCCCTGTCGTAGTTGGAGCCCTAGGACTGGTTGGAAAAGATTGCAGTAGACTAATTGAAGGGATTCCTGGAAGTCCATGCCTCAAGGAGATACAAAAAATTGTTCTCACAAGTACAGCCCACACCTTACGAAGGGCTTTATCTATGTAATTTTTTTTTTTTTTTTGTCAGTGGAAAGTGTCATGGTGCCATTTCTAACCTTAGGTCCCTGGGCGGGACCCGGAAAGAAATGTGTAAACGCCAGAAATCAAAGAAAATAAAAATAATAATAATAATGTTTACTTATCAAGCACCACAGAGAATAAGCTGAAAGAATTAAAGAAAGAAAGAAAGAAAGAAAGAAAGAAAGAAAGAAAGAGAAAGAAAGAAAGATGAAAGAAAGATATAAGAGAAAATTGAAAGAGATGAGAAAATATGAAGAAAGAAAGAAAGAAAGAAAGAAAGAGAAAGAAAGAAAGATATAAGAGAAAATTGAAAGAGATGAGAAAATATGAAGAAAGAAAGAAAGAAAGAGAAAGAAAGAAAGATGAAAGAAAGATATAAGAGAAAATTGAAAGAGATGAGAAAATATGAAGAAAGAAAGAAAGAAAGAAAGAAAGAGAAAGAAAGAAAGATGAAAGAAAGATATAAGAGAAAATTGAAAGAGATGAGAAAAATATGAAGAAAGAAAGAAAGAAAGAAAGAAAGAAAGAAAGAAAGAAAGAACAGAGAGAGAAAAATTCAAGAGAATGGAAGAAAAGCAGGAGAATGAAAGAAGAAAATACTAAAAAATATATAAGGGAAAGAGTTATGAAATGTGCGAGAAGGGAAACAGATGAGGCGGGGTGGAGATAAAGAGAGAACAAAGTAAAAAAAAAAAATATATATATATATTCAAAATAGAAAGCAAAAGAAATAATGTACGAAAATAATGTCTAGGAAAAACTAAAAAAGAGAAAAAAGCATCTAGCAAGTCGTTTACTCTCCTGTCTGGTTTCCAATCTGGGTCACCGAATTGTTATGGGTGATCCTATTATAGATCGGCCCTTTTCGCTGGCTGGGTCAGGATTCAGCTCTTCTATATCGGATTGGTAGTCAGTCGGGAAATGGCGAAGAGCAATCACTTCATTAAATGCAGTCGCTGCATATTTTAGAACTTGCTTCTTTCTCTTCCAAATATCGAATATTTCTTCATTATGAAATGGTGATATTGTTAAATTGCATTAAATTAAAAGTATAACTTGTTAGGAATTAACTCAAAATTCAACAGCAGTTTGTAAGCACATGGATAATATTATTTAAAATAGATATGAACCAGTTCTGATAGATAGATAGATAGATAGATAGATAGATAGATAGATAGATAGATAGATAGATAGATAGGAACCAGTTCTGATACATAGATAGATATGAACCGGTTCTATATAGATAGATATGAACCAGTTCTGATAGATAGATAGATAGATAGATAGATAGATAGATAGATAGATAGATAGATAGATAGGAACCAGTTCTGAAACATAGATAGATATGAACCAGTTCTATATAGATATATATGAACCAGTTCTGATAGATAGATAGATAGATAGATAGATAGATAGATAGATAGATAGATAGAAAGAAACAGAAGGAGATAGATAGATAGGAGATAGATAGATAGATAGATAGATAGGAACCAGTTCTGATACATAGATAGATATGAACCAGATCTAATAGATAGATATGTACCAATTTTAATAAATAAACAGATAGATGGCTATGAACCAGTTGTAACAGATAAACAAGCAACAGATAAGACATAACTGGTAAACATAAGCATTAACACACAAATTCTGGAACTTAATTTGCGTCTCAAACTCGTGAAGTGAATTTCAAGAGGGTCTCAGCTTTTTGACAAGCCGACTATCATCGTCAGTTCGAATTCATTGATTTCTGCTTGAACATGCATGTAAAACTTTCAATCAATAAGGCTTAGTCATGGCTGTTGACGCAAAGAAAGGCTAATCAACACTGTGGAGCCTTATTTGATTTGACGAATTCGCCCAAAAGGAAATATTTTATTAGATTCGTCTTGCTACACAGGTTTGACCGATGAGCCGTAAATAGGATTTGGGGATGTAGCTAAAAAAAATATTCAAAGAGAAAAAGCGCCCGTAGAAAATAAGATTTTTGAAAGAATAATAATTGCAATAACTAAAAAAAAAAAACTCGAAACGAGTGTGCTACTTGTAAAACGTAAATCTCGTTTACTGTACATGAATGTTTACAAGGCAAGTCCCAAATGAAACAAAGTCAATAAGACTTACTGGAGATTTTAATCTTGAACGCAACGCACAATGTATAATGAGCGCAGATGAGACTTTAGATAGTATTTTGTTAGTAATAGGTTACACTCGTTTAGCAAGTTGAGGAGAAACACGAGCTGTTTCGTAAATAAATAGTAAAGTTTAGAAAGCCACATTCTCGAATAAATATGTTTAAATTATTAACAACTAAAAAAACGAGGCTCCAAACTGTACAAACAGAAAACGTAGCTCAAAAAATACAAACTGAAAACGAGGTTCAATGTTTTTGTTATGTTGAAGTGAAACCTTATTGCTATGATACCATCAAGATGTCTTTCATGTCAAATAGAGATAAATATCCTTTTTGTCTGTTTTTGTTCGTTTTTATTATTATTATTATTATTATTATTATTTCTCCGTGCTTTGTTTTCTGAGAGATTTTTAGTGTTAGGAATTGACTTTCCATCTGACAAAGTAAAACCGTTAGAAAAATGTACATTTCTTTCTGAACTTTCCAGAAACAAAAGTAGCGTCTCGACTGTTAGTTAGAAACGATCAGTTGACGCGGTTAACTGGATTTTTTCAAATACGACATATTAAGAATGTTGAAAGGGAGATTATAAGACGTCACTGTGCTAGTGTGAGACGATGACCATTGAATATACTGCCAATCCTTTTTCTTGCTTTCTTTATCTGCTTCTTTCTTTGCTTCTTTTTGCTTCCATTATTTATATAGTTCCTTCTTGCTTTCTTTCGTTCTTTTCTTTCTCACTTTCACTCTCTCAAGTTTTCACACTTACGTTCTCGCTCTCTCTATCACTTTTTCGCTTTCTCTTTCTTGCTTGTTCTCTTTCACGCTATCTCTCTATCTCTTTCTCTCTTGCTCTCATTCTCTCTCTTTTTCTCTCTCTCTCTTTCTCTTTCTCTTAACCTCTCTCTTTCTTTCTCTCTCGCTCTTTCTCTCTCGCTCTTTCTCACGCTCTTTGTTTCGCTCTTTGTCTCTCTCTCTCTCTCTCTCTCTCTCTCTCTCTCTTTTCTCTCTCTCTCTCTCTCTCTTACAACAAACTTTATAATGGCGATGTTTATCCACAGGAGTAACTTGAGTATAAATGTAAACAACCGTATTCTTTTTAATTGTATTTGTAATACGACATTATCTATTGCTTCTCGATCTAAGCCTGTTGATATTAATTTCACTGTTTAAGAAATATACAAAACAAGGGTAGCAACACCAACACCTGTAACACTGTATCCTCACCTCCACTTGACCGACGCCCTCCACAAGACTGGCCGTTAGTCCGGTATGATCCAAAATTACAGGTTAGACACAAGTTTCCAGTTCCCAATGCCAATTCGAAGCCACCCTCCAGCCACGTTGTGATTGTTTTAATCCTGGAGAGAGGTCATCAGATCGTAGAAATCTGGAAGCTCCCCGTTGGTCCACCTGCGAGTTGGTCGGGTGAGAATCGGTTTAAGAGAAAAAATAAATATAACCAAGTCGATTCGATTTTAAAAGGACAAAAGTTTATATATATATATATATATATAAGCAAACACACAAAAAATATAATTCTTGTTGCACAAGGTTAAATGTTTCTTGTGTGTGAACAATAACCAAAAAACACAAATACTTCGAATAATTTCGGTAAGGAACAGATGGGGGCCTTAGTTTTAACCCTTTTGGCCTGTTCTTAGCGCAACTACTACAACCTTCGATGTTTCCGTTTTCAGTACTAGTAGTAGTAGTAGCAGAAGTAGCGGTACTTAGATGTTAGCGGCGGTATTTCGCTTCTTCGCACTCAGCTTCAGTAGCACACAGCGGATGCTTCCTTTCTCTGACGTCTCTCCACCCAGTTCGACTGAATTCGAAGACAGATGAACCCAAACTCCCTATATCCCCCGGTTGGCTCGCATCTTAAGAGAAATGGTGACGTAACTGTTTTTCTAGTGCGAACGTACTGACATACTACCAAATAAAACTTCACTCCTCCGAGAATAAGCACTTTACTTTTTCATCGATTGGCTTCCTATGTTCACAACAAGACGCTATTGTTTATCACCTCGCTATTATTATTCTGTCGCTCTTTGTAAAGTATAGAGATTCTTGTTTTAAAAATAAATTCTAGATCAAATCATCCCTAATTTTAACTCCAATTCTCATAGTGTCAAAATCCATTTCTTTGTTTAAAAGTTCCAAATTATTATTGTCCCAGTAATTTTCTATTAGTAATCTGACATCCTTTGTACACTTACAAAAAGATTGTATTTCGTATTCTAAATTAACTTTCTGTAACATTTACATTTCAAAGTCTTTACAGCATATTAACATCTTGGTTATTCGAAAACGCCTCGCTTTCACTTGATGTTTTCTGTTTTACAGCATATCCTCCTTTATTATCATTATTATTATTACAGGGGTGATATCGCCCCACTCACCTGTACCCGCTAAAATAATGTTTGCAGCAGTAAAAAATAAATTCGTAGAAATCCCAATGTGAGATGTGCATTCCTTAATTTAAATAGATGATTCGGGTCTTGTTCTATCTAGATGCTCTCCTATAGTCAAATTGGTAGCGGCACGCTTCTGCTATAGGAGTGGCTTCCATGCTGGAAAAACGAATATAGATTCGATTATTGTCTGGAGACACAATTTCTCTTTAGTAGTACCTCTCGATTTAGGCTATGTTTTTATTAATTTCATTCTATAAGAAAAAAAAACAGCAACTCAAACAATTGTACCCATTTATTTTTATCTCACAGCCTCACTTGAACCTATAGTTAAAGTTTTATCATGATTCAGTTAAATATTTCAATTCGTTCGTGTCATCACTGATCTGGTTTACAAGTTCGTGTTTAACGTTTTACTGATTGTTTACATCATTTAATAGCAACAGAACTTCCGGGATAAAATTGAACTTTAAATCAAAATAACTTAAAATTATTTTTTAATATACCAAAAAATATTTTTAAATCATATTCACTTGAAAATGTTTTTTAACAATGTCCAAAAATACTTTTTTTAAATATTTAAAATATTGTTTGCTTAAAGAAAGCTGAAATATAAATAATTACTCTACAAACAACTGGACGAAACAGCAAAGCGGGATCTCTTTGCGTCTGTCTTTAACTTAGGCAATTCTTTTAATTAAAATATTTTTGTTTGAATGAAGTTAAAATAAAAATACTTACTGTAGAAACAACTCGTATTTTTAAATCTTATTCACTTAAATCAGATTAACTTAAATTATTATGCGCCGGACAGACGCATCACACAAGCTTTTAGTATTATATATAGATAACAATGATATATTCGTATAATCAATTTAAAGGTGTTTAATTTAATTGATGAGATTTTAAATCATTTTTGCGGCACAACTACAATCTTCTCACGGCACACCGGTTAAAACTTACTGCACTGGGATATTAGAATAGTTTTAACTCTATTCCAAAAGGGGAAAGGGTTTTTAGCCCGCGCACAATTTTCAATCGATTCTACCGTATATGTCTGCGTACAAAGCAACCTTTTAACCTTAAAAAATCACCCCCAAAATAGTGGACCGTCTTATACTCCAGGTATATAAAATGTGAACCTTGAATCCTGTGGTTTATGGTAAGTTGTTAGCCTGGGACATTTTTGACAGTCGGCTAACCCCTGCATTGGTCACTATCGACACAAATATTTTCTACTGGAACAAATTAATTCACATTATTAGAATAAAATAATAAAAGTGTAGTATAATAAAAGTACTCTTACCTTATATTAGGTTGGTGCAAAAATAATGACGTAATAATGTCGTTTTTGACGTATTTTTAACGTCAAAAACGACATTATTATCATTATTTTTGCACCAACCTAATATAATATGTGGCATGATTGCATGACAACAATAAAATGCATTGGGCGAAATCCCAAACCATTTATCATTCTGTAAATCTAGGCACCTTCATAAGATTGCTAAAAAAAAAAAAGAGCATGGTATGATGAAAAAAACGCCAAACTTGACGAAAACAAAATTTTATCGTCTAAATGTTTATCTTATTATTAAGAGGAAAGATCAAAGTATTTTAGGTGTATTTTTTTTTTTTTCACATTTTTTAATTGTTCGTAGCACGTCCGAAATTTTCGTTAAAAATCTTGTTTTTTTTTTGTTTTTTGAGTCAGCAAGTTTGGCGTCTATGCTCTTTTTTAGCGATCTTCATCGAGGTACCTATGGAAATCTATATGAATAAATAAATGCGAATGTCAGTGTGTCATTGAGTCACACTTTTTCAACTTTACTCCTACTTTACTCAACCTGTCATAATCCTACCATTTTGGAATCAGGCCGACTCCGGGAGCAAATTAAAACAGTCCGGACGGTATCCAGACCCGCAATCCTGAAATTTTGGATTTCCAAGTTTTCATTACTGTGATTGCTTTCGGCGATTTTTTTTTTTTACTTCATTTTTGGTGACCAATTTTTTTTTTTTTTTTTTTTTTTTTTGTAAGATAACATGGAAATAAATTTGGTTCGAGAAACAATTAAGATTTAAAATAAAATAGATTATTTAAATTTAAAATAAAAGGTAAAAGAATAATCCTGCTAAATTTCAGACAATTTAGGAAGTCATTAATTGCAACTCTATGACAATTTAAAGTTAACTGTTTAAAAAATAAAATAAAATAAAAACGCCACCTTTCACAACTTCATAATAAAATACCGGAAATAGAAGTATATTGTGTCGAAAATGAAAATTATTAGAGCGGGCGGGCCCATTAACACTCTGACAGTCGCCAACACACAAACGACTGACAAACATAATCGTCTAACAAACTTAAATCGTACTGTCCCCGAGTTTTCTATTCTGGGGACCTTCCAGCCGAGTCAACGACAGTCCCTGTCTGCCTGATTCAAAAACAAAGCCTCGTTTTGTCTCAGTATGTCACCGGATGCCGCCGAATGCTTGTCGGCTATTTCTGCCACCTGGCCACAGCTTCAGACATCAGCATTAGTTCCACCTAGCCAGCTGTCATCATATCCAGCTTGCCATTTCTAGGCCCAGCCACCATTGCCAATGATATCCATTAAACTGTCCTTTTTCATAACAGCACTCTCCGGCGACCACAAAACTGCCCTTCTCGAGACACCCACTCTCTATTAAATATAAAACTGTCCTTCTCGGGACAGCGTTATTTCTCACCCTCTACATGAGATTTACCGAATTCACAATAACATTATTTTTTTTATGTATTTTTCTTTAACAAAAATAATCTTGGCAATATATTTTTTTACTCAAGTCTTCGTTTTGTTTGTTGTCTTCCGTTATTTGATACCTGTTTGCGGATCAATATCCCACCCGCTACAGTAGAACAGACCAACGGAGTTGTAAAATCTTTCATCTGTTGTCAAAGATGCCAACCAAATTTTTCCTTTCATCAACTGTGTACGCTGCCACTACCATGAAAAATCTAAAGTATGTTAATGTACTCCATTCTTCACTGCTGTTATGGAGGTTGTGTTAATGGATTAAATTATATTGATCAAAAAATGTTGAGTAAATTAGGCTGCGTGATGAAATTAACAATTTCCTCTCACATTAAATTTCAGTATTTAACAAACATTGAATAAGGACAACATGAAAAACAACAATTTTTGCAGAACAATGAATAAAATATTTATATAACAAAGAGGTACAAACAACTGAAGTTAAAGAGGTGGTTTTAAAAAAGTTCAAACGTCCTTTTATGTTTAGATGAAAGGTTATCAAAGTTCTGGTTTGATAGATTATAATTTGTTGAATGGTCTGTACAATAATGAGAAAGTGTGTTTGGGTATTATAGTAATTTAAGAAAAAAATAAACAGTTCAAGTTTGTATTTGAAATAAAGAAATATTGTTTACGACTTACTTTAAGATTTACGGAATTGTTGCTCTTTGATTTGTTTTCACTTGTTCGAAGAGAATATTCTAGTTGGAGTAAGTGGTTCTTAACAAGCTGTGTTTATGTTAATTGCAATAATTAACGTTGATCTTGAAAGCGTATGAAAAAGATTCTTGTATTAAGTTGAATGTGGAAAACTTGTATTGATTGTTCGCGATAAAATATTGTTGTGTGAATGTTCATTCAGGCTGGAATCATGTTAAGGAACTTTAACGTAAAGCCTGGAACTGTGTGACGAGTTCAAAGGATTCCGATCGGCTCACTGTCGAAGATGAAAGACGTTTCATATTTTATTGCTAATTTTGGTCACGTGATAGGATCACAGAAGCTTGATAGATTTTGGCGGAATTATCTTTTTGGTCAGGTCAAGAACTAGGTCGATGCTATTAAATATTAAGTGACCAATCAGAAGTTGAGATTTTCTGAAAATATACATTAAGCTGAATAAGCTCTGTGATCCACTTTTTGTACGAAAATTGATAAAAAAAAAAGGTGATACCGGGATGCTAAACTATGTTTGATTAATAGTTAAGATGATACCTTCGTCATGATAATCGGTTCGTAAAAATGGAAGAATTAATTTTGACATAACCTAATATAATTTGACAGAGTTGGCAACACGAGGTATCCAATGAGGATCGAACTCACAACTTAATAGTGATGGCCAACCAGACTAATCTCGCTATTACCATGTGTCGTCACGCCATTGGGCAAAAAATGACGCCATGATATTTTACAGCAATTTAATATATTAACTGTATCTGCTACAATATTTATTAATTATTAATAATCCTGAGTAAGCGATTATCATGACACCATTGTTCTAGATTTTGGTCTCCTTCCCCTGTAGAGGGAGATTCTATTCTCATGTGAAAATTATGTCCACAGCGAAATCAAGCAAATTCGAAATGGCACAGACACGATTTTAGTGTTTTATATTTGTTTATTTATAGAAATGGTGTCTCTAACGAAACAGAAAAGTGTAAGAGTTGTCCCTCAAGATTTCTGACCCCTGACGCCAGATGTCAGCTTGTACCTGAAATTGTAACATTCAGCCGACAAAGTAAATTTAGTTGTCCCCCCCCCCACTTTCTCTACTCCGTTGTAAATATGTCTTTTTCACTTTTCTCTTCCTCTCCCTCCATTTTTTATTGATGTCTGCCTCTCATAAGCTCTTTTTTCTCTCTTATCCATTCCAGTTTCAGTTTATATTTCTTTTCTTTTACTCTTTTTCTCCAGCGGCCTTTCTCCATCTTGTCTGTATTTTCACGCTCAATGTTATTTTATCATTTTATTTCTCATTATTACACTCTCTTCTTCTGTCGTTTTATTTTTATCACTCTGTTATATACGCTCTCTTAATTTCAATCTATTATTCTTTCTCTCTTTCTCTCTCCCTCTCTTGTTTTTCAATCTATTACTCTTTCTCTCTTTCTCTCTCTCTCACTTTATTTTCAATTTAATACTCTTTTCTCTCTCTCTTTCTCTCTCTCTCTCTCTTATTTTCAATCTATTACTCTTTTCTCTCTTTCTCTCTCTTATTTTCAATCTATTACTATTTTCACTCTTTCTCTCTCTCTCTTATTTTCAATCTTTCTCTCTCTCTCTCTCTTATTTTCAATCTATTACTCTTTTCTCTCTTTCTCTCTCTCTCTTTTTCAATCTATTACTCTTTTCTCTCTCTCTCCCTCTCTTATTTTCAATCTTTCTCTCTCTCTCTCTTATTTTCAATCTATTACTCTTTTCTCCTTTTCTCTCTCTCTCTTATTTTCAATCTATTACTCTTTTCTCTTTTTCTCTCTCTCTCTCTCTTATTTTCAATCTATTACTATTTTCACTCTTTCTCTCTCTCTCTCTCTTATTTTCAATCTTTCTCTCTCTCTCTCATTTTCAATCTATTACTCTTTTCTCTCTCTCTCTCTCATTTTCAATCTATTACTCTTTTCTCTCTCTCTCTCTCTTATTTTCAAGCTATTACTCTTTTCTCTCTTTCTCTCTCTCTCTCTCTCTCTCTCTCTCTCTCTGTTAATTTCTGTTTATTAATCTTATTTTTTTAAGAATGAGACAAAGAGTGATACTTTTTCTCTATTACATTGTATTTTGCCCCTTCTCTTCGTCCGTTCTTTTTTTTACTCCTCTCTTTCTACCTTTCTCCTTTTACCCTCCTCTCCCCCTCTCCCTCACACTCACTCACCTCTCTCTCTCTCTCTCTCTCTCTACCACTTTCTTCCTCATTTTTCATCTTTTCTCCTTTTCTTTTTCGCTCTCTACGCTTTTCCTTTCTACATATTTATTTTTTTCTCCAATTTTCCGATATTTACCTTTCTTCTTCATTATTTTCTTTTTACTTCCGTTTCACAGATAATCTCCCCCCCTTTTTACATTAGACACTCCTTCTTTTTGTCATCTTCCTTTCATTATCTCTTTCAATTTCATCATACCCACGTCCTAATCTCTCCCGTCAGGTTTATTTATCTATCTTTCTCTCTCTCTCTATCTATCTATCTATCTATCTATCTATTCTCTCCGTCTTGCTATGTTATGGCAAATCTTACGGTATTACTTGCACCTGTTAATTTTGAGCAAACTTTTCTTATTATATTTCCTTGATAGTTGCGTCGGCGCAGTGTGCAGGTTAACAGGCTTGCCGCTTTTACTGGCATGAGTTCGATCCTGACAGTGGCCCGTACGAAGTTAATCTTTTATAACATTGTATGGTGATGTCCCAAAGCAGCTTTACACACTCATTTTGCATTTATTCTATTGGTTATTATTATTATTACTAGTGTGTACATGCCTTTAAAAATGACAGCAATTGTTGGAAAGTTCTAATAGTGAGATGCAATGAAACAAAATCTTGAAACAATTTATTGATTCAATAAAGCGGAGATAAAAAAAAAAATTACCACAACTAAAATAGAAGCCAATGAACAGTTTAACTAATCCGTTCCCTTTATATTTTTATAAGCTCAACGATATCTATGATTCATTGATTATCCCTGGTATTATATAAATCACTTTTTTAATTATTTTAAAAGTTTTGTGTTTTTAATATAACAGTGAAATAGAAATATCTCTCGGAAGAAAATGATGAGCAACAGAACGACAAAGGCGGCGACGACGACAACCTATTTCATGACCAGTTGAAACAAGACGATCACTTAATAGATAAACGTATCTGAGTGCCTCACATAACAGGCTTGAACAAATAAGTCTGCAGTCTAAGAAACGTAGAAGAAAAGAAACTGGTTAATTAAACGATTCATTTTGCTCGGGAACTAATGTTGTCTAAATGCAGATAAATATTTTATTTGTATAAATACGACTATACGAGAAGTAAGAGAATTAATCCCTCATAAACTTACTATTTGTTGATTTATCTCCCTTGCTATTACAGATGGGACAGAAAATATATAAATACAAATTGATAATTATTATATGGTTTTATTATTTCCTTTGTTTTTTGTTATATACGCATTTATTTCAGGGTTCCAATCAAAGACCTAAGGTCAGAAATGGCATTATGACGTTTTCCATTTCGTAAGGTGTGAGCTGTATTTGTGAGTACAATTTTTGTACTTCTTTTAGGAATGGGCTACCAGAAATCCATACAATGAGTATTAGAAACTTTTCTAATCAAACCTATGGTTGCAACCACAATTGAAATTATTGATGTCTTCATGTGCCATATTTTTTTTATATGTCCACTTCAAGATCCTTGTATTTTCATAGTTTTTAAATTCTTTAATGATATGTTTGTCTGCAGAAACTGCCATGTCAATAAGAAAGCTCATTCTGTGTTTGTAGTCTTTGATCAAGATGTCTTGGCGATTAGATTTGATTGTTCTGTCTGTGTGTCTTGTAAAGTCCCAGAAAATCTTTGCAAGTTTATGTCTGTGACTAGGTCTGGGTGGTATTCATACCAATTTCTTGCAGTTTTCTTCCCATAAAAGTTGCTTATTTTCTAGTGCAGATATTGACCTACTCTTTCATTATCAAGATTCGGTGGATACCATGCAACCTGATACAAGATGATCAATTGTTTCTAAATATTCATCGCATAATCTGCATTTGGGGTTAACACAATTTTTTCGTAGGTTTCCTTGATAATCTTTCTTTGGTCCGTTGCATTTTGCTTTTGTCTTTTTCAGGTTCTTTGCCGTTGCAGGAATTGGATTATTGTTTACTTGCTCTTCTGTGTCCACTTGTAATTCTCATTTCAATTTGTTGGCGTCCTTTATTACTAAATAAAGTTTCTTATTTCTTTTATTGTTCTTTGAGACAAAGATCATCATCCAATCTTCTGTATTTTCCAGGTTTCTATGAAGACCATTTGTTCTAATTTTCTAAGACAGTTCCAGTTTGATTTCCTTGTGTCTGGGAAAAATCATTGTTATTCTCAATTAATCATTAATACAATACAAAATATTCTTACAATTATTCTTACAATCCAAAAAATGTTTCGGCTTTAAATAACCCATAAAGGGTTGATAAACCATAAAAATCAAAACAATCATGTCATGATTCGTTTACAAAGATATTTTCAGTATGTATGTGTGCTTCATATATAGTCAGTTATGTTCCATGCGTGACACACGCTTAGGCAATCGTGTATCTTTCAATACATGACTGACGAGGCAGATTTGTCCCGCAGTAGGTTGTCTTTTCTTTCTGCGGTAGACCAGTTGCCATCCAAGGCTATAGAACTCAGTCTGTTCTGCTATTTACCCATATCTTGGGGGGAAGTAGAGGATTCATACCTTTCTCAAGGGTATTAGCACGTAAGTGAATGTAATGGATTCGAGTGGAATTCGAACTCAGCTCTCCGATTCCTCAGTCCGAGCCGCTATCCGTTACTCCACCGTGCCTCCTGTTTCATATGCAGTGTGTCCATAAAGTCTCTTTACAATTTAAAAAAAAATATTACAAAAGCAAATGAACGGGCAAATATGTAGAAATTCTTACAAAATGATATTGAAGTATTTTTTTAACTAATGTAATTTACGTCTATATGGTCGCCATTAGTTGCACGAAGCACAACATCAACCGATACTCAATGTTCTCTGTAGCACAGCCTCATCAATGGTGGCAATGGCATCAGTGATCTTTGGCTTTAGATCAGTGATGCCCAATGTTTTTGTTCGATACACCATATCTTTAACATAACTCTACAGAAAGAAGTCCAAGTGAGTGATATCAGGTAAATGAGGTGGCCAGGGAATTGGGCCTTCCCTTACAATCCACTGGTCTGGAAATATTAGGGGTTCAATTAATAGTACCTCTTTCATTAACAGGATATCTGAAATACACAAATGCAATGCGATTAAAAACTTTGATAACTACTGAATACATAGAACAAATCTGATTAAGATATCTCATCAATTGCCTTTGTTATATATTTTTTAAATTGTAAAGAGACTTTATGGACCCCCTGTATAATTTGAATGTATATATATATATATATGAAGTGGGGTTGCTTGACGGGAGTGATAATTGCGTATTCCCCGACCTCGTACCGGTAGGTGTTGGTGATCTCAATCAAATAAAATTCAGAATATCAAATTCTAGTTTTTCAAAGTAGCCAGATCACTACCACTTAAAAAAATGGTGCAAAACAATCTTCTTATCCCAATTTTGCTTTTATGCCGAGGATAAGTTCTGTTTAGAGTCTCATATGTCGGGAACATGCCATAGAAATATGGTCTACAAGCTCGTGCCGCAGGCGAGTAGAGATGAATCCGAACACGTTACCATTGCGTTAGTAGATAATCGAGCAATCCCGTTGCCAAGATGTGGGGTGCCATCTCCAGAATCCCTCCCCCACAAAAAATGATCTGAACTAATTTTAGTATGCAATACCTACTCATGACTCATGGCCGTCCCGACCATTCAAAACACACATGACATCTCTCAGGCAAATGGCGGCTACTCGTCGATGCCCATCTCCTCTCTGAGACAGGTTATACTGGTTTGCATGGTACCATAAACAGGATGTAATTTCTGATCTGATATAGAGAGTTTGACTGGCGCTTTTGACAAGGACGTTCACAGGAAGCGTATTCCTACAGACACATTCCTGAACGAAATGTGACGCAAAATCAAGTTTAACCCTATTCCAAGCGGGGTGGCGGGAATAAATTCGCGCACAGATTGCAATTTATTCTGCTCTTTTGTGGGTAAGATATTGATTTGAAAACTCGAGATATGTTACTAAAAATAGACTGTCGTAAAATCATTTTACTGGAGTCATTCTAAAAGGTAATTGCTAATACAGATCGGCTTTCTTTTGTTTCGTAATTCATGACGTCAGCATATTTTCGCTGTCAGGTTTTTTTGTCATTTTAGAAAATTAATCTTTTTTTTTCTGGCTTCGACTAGTTTCCTTTATGAATTCTCTAGACTCATATTTCAAGGTACATTCAGCACTAATTCTTTGTATTGTAAAAATATTTATTAGTCATTTGATACACCAAATGTGGTACAGGACCCAAAATTAGGGGAGGCTTGTCTTCAGCTTCCCTGGACATTTAACATAGCTCGACTCGATCGCTGATTCAATCATCCAATATAAAGTCTCTTTAACCATAACGACACTTTCCCTCTTACTTTTAGTTCGAATATTTGGTTGTGTTTTTTTTTTTTGTTTTTTTGTTTTTTTTTTTCGTAATTGGAATCAACCTGACCCCTTATTTCAAGATACATAGTTTTTGTAAAAAAAAAAAAAAAATAATAATAATAATAATAATGAGGAAAATAATAAAAAAAAAAGTAATATAATAAAAAAAAATGCAAATATCCATAAATTTTTACATGATGGTGTTTTAGTAGATTCCCCTGTGAATATGTAGTATTTTAGTAAATGTAGGATTAGTTGAAAAATGAATGGGTCGCAAATCAGATAAGCTAGTTTTAGGATAATTAGTGACGACCAGCCTCATCCCAATTCCTATTCGTTCTTGTTACAAAATTGTCTTTCAAAATAAAATAAATATACAGATTCCAACTTACCATTCTTACTAGAGTCACCAAAATGCCAGAATTTCTCCATGAAGTCCTAAATTGCGACAGAACTCATTCAGACTCTTACATATAATGGCTAGTCCTGGGTATGACGATAAACTACGTCCGGCAGCAAGGCCTCTGATCGGGAGATTGAATATTTGAAGAGCGTGGAGCCACCTCTTAATTGCTGTTGTTCCTAGGTCCACCTTGACCCGGGGTGGTAGCACCTGTTAGGGTCTCAGCTATAGGCAAACAGTGAAACCCCACCCCAAACAAAAACAAAACACTATAAAAGTACATATTTATTGTAGAATTACCAACAGTTCAGCTCTAAAGCTAAATGACCAACAATAAATTTTATCTGTTGTTGAAGGGATACAATTGCGTTCAAAAATATTTAGTTGAAGCCATAAGATTGTGTTCATGTTATTTAGCTGTGCTGGTCAAATACTCTCCCTCCGAGCAAAGAGGATCCCCAGACGAGGCTATGTCAAAGGGCAGAGTCTCGTCTCGGGAAAAAGCTACCCGACCCCATTTTAAACGTGGTCTACGGGAAATTTTTGGCCAAGCCTACGGCTCGGATACCACACATTAAATTTGGCCTTGTGCCACATTTGACCGCGTGGGGCGGTTAGTAGATATCCTGCAATTGGAGATTCATTATGGAATTCATTTGACTCACTCCTAGCAGTTGACTCCTACTTCTACGCGCCGCTGGCGAATCTTATATGTGTTGTTCTTGTCCTAAGTATTATCGTTCATTACCATCCTTCGTTTGATTATTCTATTCAGTAACCTTCCCTAGCTTACAACAATAAATATATTTAGGGTGATAAGGTATAAAATGAAAAAAAATTTTCCGTTTATTTTCGATTTATCACAGGTTTTTTTTTGTTTTTTTTTTTAATTCGCTGCCGTTTGTTCAATTGTCCTTCTGTCAATATCGAACAACAACAAAAGATAGCTATCATTTGTCTTTTTTAAACTATACTAGCAGCAAACCGCCTGCATACCGATAAAAAATAATTCATTAAATATACAAAACTTGAAAGTGGGTGTAAGACAAAGATGTGTCTTCTCGCCGGACTTTCCAAATCTATACAGTGTGGCGTTTTTGACAAAATTAGAAGTTCTACCAGGATTCATTATTGGCAGTCACAATCTTAACAACATAAGATCTGCAGGTGATACAATGTTGATAGCAGACGCAGACAGGAAACTAGTAGTGAATAAAAGCAAGAAGAAAGGAATAAGCATCAACTGCAAGAAGATAGAATGCATGGATGTTAGCAAAAGGAACAGACCAACATGAATATTAAAAATTGGAGATAAAATCCAAATCAAATAACTACAACAATATAAATACCTGAGAAATGTTTTAGCAGGGGACAAAAAGTGTGACACTGAAATCTGGAGTCACAATGGGATAGTGAAAGATTCCTTCCAAAAGCTAAGCAAAGTATTAAGAAACAGAAAAATTAGAAACAAAGAAGAGTACTGAATTGTTATGTGCTATCAGTCCTCCTATATGACAATCTCCTCACAGATGAAGAAGAGACTTGAAGAAACAAAAATGTGGTTCTACAGAGGGACGCTGAGAATGCCATTGATCGAATATGTGAGCAACGACGAAGTTTTAGAAAAAATGGAAACAAAACGGGCACTTCACCAGGAAAAGCAAGTTGAAATCTCTAGGGCACCTAATGAGGAAAGAGGGCTAGGAAAATCTGATACGCAAGACGAATTGAAGGCCTAAGGGGCAGAGGAAAAAACGTATAACCTACCTGGGGAGCTTGAATAAATAGATGACGGAACAAGGTTATGACAGATGACAAAATTTACTAAGAGCTTACAAATGGTTGATATTTTTTTTTCAGTATTCGCATCACCATATTCATTACGATTCATGCAATTATTATTATTGTTGTTGTTGCTTTCTGTAGTACGAATTGCCTCCAAGTCTTCACCAAAGACTTCAAGAGACAGCAAGTTTGTTTTTGTTTTGTTTTTTGCACCAAAAGGTGCAGACAGATGCGTTGCCATACAATCAGAAAAAATGTAAATTGTGATCATTACATGGAATGAAAATGACGCAAAATACACATGAGTATGATTTTTGCAATTCAGATATTTTATTTGATCCATATATCGTATATATTCGCATACCATGCGACATTTGTAGACTTAATTTTGAAGCTAATTTTAAGGAGGTCACATCATACACGAGATATAAAATTAGCGTATGTTCTGCTGGCACTGGCTATGCCGTTGACCAAACTATATTGCCATTTACTGTATCAAAAAGTACAGCTTTAAATTTAATTTAAAATAAACATGTTTTACATAACTGTATTCAATAATGCATGTCATATTCACATATTAGTATCGTAAAATACAAACAGTGTATATGCATCTTTTCCATTGTTTACGTTTATAAGATGTTTAACTTTTTCTCGTCCGGTTATTTATGGCTGTACGCGTTTACGCAACGATTATAGTGTTACTAACGATACCCTTATTCATTGTCTTTTATTTTTTAATTTATTTAACAAGAAGATAAGATAAAGTGATAGAGGAAAAAAGGATAGTTTATTCTAATTTGGTCTCTCAAAAAAGGAACTCGCATGATACACGAGATATATAATAAAATCATTTTTTATAAATGAAAATTTGGGGGTCGCACGATATGCCAAATCTCGCGTTACACGGGGATATACGGTATTTGTTTGCTTCTTTTGATATCATTCCTGCCCCAAATAACAACAGGCAATGTTGTTGTTTTGAGATGCCACTTTCTATTGATTTCTATCTCGAAGTCCTTTCATTTACTTAGTTTTTCATTATTATTATTATTATTATTAATACTTATTCTTATTCTTCTAATAATAATAATAATAATAATATTACTATTACTACTAATGTTGTGAATATTTCTTTTTCCTTTTTTGTAGTTTTAAGATAAAGTCGTAAACATGTTAGTGTTCAGTTTCGTGTTTTTCCCTTCAATAAAATATCAAATAAAACATTTTCATTCTCCAACTTGCGAGATTTTGACTTCAAAGAATCTTGACAAAACTGCCTTTTTGGATTTTAACCTCTAACCTTTCATCAAAAGCTAAGAAATCCTGTTTGTCACTGGATTCCATTGACGTCATACAATTACTGCTCTCTCTCTCGCTCTCGCTCTCTCTCTCTCTCTCTCTCTCTCTCTCTCTCTCTCTCTCTCTCTTATAACACTTCCTTTTTTATCAATTTTGTAAATAACATGAACTGGTCGCTATAATTTAATCGGGAAAGTTTGAGAAAAGAAGCTCGTAATTGGGTTGGAAGGCTACCATTTATATTTTATTCACATAATAATTGTAATATCTCTCTGTATTCCTGATGAAAATGCTTGAAAAAATTGGAGGGTGACTTGTAGTTTTTGGATATTGAGTGTGTAATGGTCAAAGGGTCAGATCGAGGGACCGACGAGCCAAGTTCGAATTCCAGCCGAGATCGTTCTATTCACTTTCGCACAAATACCATTGTTATGAGTCCATCTATTCTCCCCCCAGCTATGAGTTAAATATTCGAGCAGACTGGACTCTTTAGCCAGTGTAGGAGACGGACAACTGTGAATTCAAAACTGTATTGGACACTAATGGAACACATACTTGAACTGTAATTAAAGTCAGCTCAGCTTGGTTGCGGTATAAACCATAGATTCGTTTTGCGGGTGTTGAAGAAACACAAATAGGCCTGAGTAAATGGTCACACTCGGAAGCGGGCAGCCATTATGAAGATAAGAAATCCAACAGCAAGTTGATGTGATTTCTAGGCAAATCATCACCGGTGATGAGTGTAGATATTCTGATGTATTCATTGACAGCAAACAATGAGAGTGCGTTTGCTAGCGTGCTAAGTTCGATCCTCACAAATACCCCAATATTTTGGCGGTGTGTTGTACTAAGCGTAGTTTAGTGAATATACCCGAAGCAATGGCCTGTTTTTATAAGCTCGACAAAACGACCAATTTGTTAATTTTTGGGAGTTCGATCCTCACGAGCGTACATTTTTTTCTCTTTTTTTTTTCTTTTTCGTCATTTTCCTCGTCCTTTATTTCCTATAGACTCGCTTTTATTTCCTTTGGCGGACTGATGTTTAGTACAAAAAAGAAAATATAAACAAGTAATTAAAACGCGTTCATTACTATCGATAATCTGCCATGTATTCCCGTGCATTATTTCTGTTTTTGCTTCTTATTGGCTAAATTTATTTAAAATTGAATGGTAGGTGGCGCCACCCTACCTAGACGCCATATAAATGCTCAGACCTACGAGGTGCATTCCTGAAGTTTTGAGACATTTTTTTAGAAGAGGCTGTTATAATTGACGTACATTATTGAGATTTTAGATTTTTTTATTTTTTTTTTTTTTTAGACAGAAACTCTGGTATTTTGTTTGGATCAGTTTTGATTGGTCTGTGACGAAACTTACACATAGAATTATCTACGATTTTAATGCACGTGACACGTGACTGACCAATGAGAACTGACCCAAACAAAATTTAAATACCAGAGTTTCTGTCTTTATTTGTTTTATCTCAAAGTTTTCATAAAAGTGAAACATGCTAGACTGATATAAGTTTTCTGTTTGTTCTTTATTTTATCATGTCGGATTCCGATCCATATTTAATCTGCATTTGATCTTTTTTTTTTATTTCTTTGAAATTATAAATGTCTCTCCTTAAAAACAAAATCTCAAAATTTCTAGAAAGCACCTCTGACATCATTTGTATTCTGAGCTCCAGTGAGTCATTGTGATCACCAGGATACTTAGGGAAGGCAACGTGAATTATCGGAGTTCGAACGGGTTATTACAATATTGCATTTCTGAAATTGGGAAGACATTTCGCATGCCTTGACTTACAGTGCCACGTATGTGCCATAAATTCTTGATGAAGGGCCTTACGTCCCAACCGTGGTCAGCAGAGTAGCCGACCACAAGTCTTTAAATATCCTCTGGCCAAAAGCGTCGACTGCTTCACGTTACAGGCATATCCAATGCAGGAGATATCACTCGCATATACAACTGGACAGTTCAACATTCTTCAGCTTTTATTGTATATGGAATATGGAAGCAGGATGCCCCTGTCAACATCATGACACTAGACACCTCAGGTTAGCTGGACCTAGATTTAGTCTCATGCTTAAGTGAACCCTGGAGGACTAGAAATATTCGTTGTCTGATGATTTTTGTAGTACAAAATTTAAGGATGGCTAGGAATAAGCATAATTTATATGGCATTTTAATGTATATTTTAAAAGCTAAAAAAAAAAAAACGATTTCATCCCAGTCTTATCAAGTTTATTTCTGGAATATAAAAAAATAAACGTGTAAATTTAACTGATATTAATGATAACCAATGGAGGAGAAAATATGAATTTCAAGAAAGCTAGGGTCCAATAACATTCAGACCCAGTAAGCATTCCCTCTGTTTAAAGATGGAATGCCCATAGGATCTGATATACAAGGACTCTAGAACCTTGAGGTGATATGAGGAGTGAGACCCCCCCGATAAAATACAAAAACGGTTCACCCTAAAATCAAAGACAAATATATATATATACTGGGAATACCTAACGGAAGGCATTACCGCCCACCGTGGACAATGCAAAGACTGACAGGTTCGGTTCGATAAGGTCAAATTGACCGCTGATCTAAAAATGATCTACAATCTGATGTTAAATGGAGCAAGGAATGGCTTGTTAATTTTAACGCCTCCAAAATTAAACTTTTCTCTTTTAATCGTCTAACAGAAATCATTTAACCTTCTTTCAGCGTGGCTGATGCTAACGTACAGGAGAGTGACTATATTGCCCGTTCTCGAACTAACGTTTTCCGCTACTATAATGTAGAAAGAGTATATAAAATCGATTGCTAAATCTGCAGCTAAGAAAGTTGGTGCACTGTGTCAAGCGAGACAATTTCTTGCCAGAATCTATCTTACATACATATATAAGTTTACCATTCGTCGTTACTTTGGATATTGTTGCCACATGGTCTGGTGCTCCTGCTATTTAGAGATTCTTGATAAAATTCAAAGAATCTGCAGATCCTAACCTGACATCTCGGCTTCAGTCTCTTTCCAACTTTTCTGTATGCCTTTTCTATAAACACTTTCATGATAATTATTGTTATGGGATTTTACCCATAATAATAATAATGGACTATTCCATACTTAATAAATACTGCGCCTCAGTCAGTAGTTCAAGTCGAGTCAAGAGTCGAGTCAGAGGCAGTCCAAAACAGAATCGTGTTCAGACAATTACTACAAGACATTGGAATAGTGATACTGGTCGAGACTACATTGTTCTCTACTAAACCTGATTGTTCATACTAACACTTCTACTTCTCTGTATATATTCCTGTTTGTAATATATCTGTGTTATTCCATACCTGTGTTCGAGTTCTTCTTTATTGGTTCTACTTTGGACTATCACCGTGGTACAAGGAACCAGACCATAACAATTTTCCTGATGAGTTTTCCCCTATGGTACCTAGACCTTATGACTTTAAACGCAGTACTAGATTAGCGGAAAGGTTTCATCATTTTACAGTTGAAATGGCTGAGTGCAACAGTAACTTCTATGCTGACAGTGTTTTCTATCGCACTTCTCGCTTGTGGAACTCTTTTCTAGCTTCTTACCTCCCTGTCAACTTTGCATTTAAATTTTTGAAGACCAATGTCAGTTGTTATCTTCTGTCTTCTTAATTCTTCATCTTTTATTGTCTTCTCTCGCAAATAGTATATTTTTTTTATATTTACTAACACTCAAAAATTGTCTTAGTGAATGTATTGCCTTGTTTGGGGGTGAAATAATAAAAAAAAAACACTGACTCAAATCATAGACAGTCGTAATTGAACCCTGACGCACTGATATCGCATAACATGATCCGATGGCTCAGTTTTTCAGTTTTTCGGGCTAGTGTTAGAAATCAGGCATGGTAAAAACCCAAAGAGAGCATGAAATCCAGTTGTCAACAAGGCACCATGCAGAATGGGCATTGTTCCATAACGGCACGTCTTTATGGTGAGTCAGCTGGTCTTCCTAAACATGTCATTGACCGTCGACGGCTCCCTAGCACTGCTTCGTGGCCATGTGTCCCCATTCAAGGTGTGATGGCAATATTAGACCTTTCCTTATAATGAAGCATCTGACAAACTTTAACCTTGGTACCCTAAAAAGTCTGTGTGTGCCAAAAAACGGTTTTCCCTTGACATCGTTATTATTTTAACTACCTTCACTCCTCGGCAATGTTTGTTCTAAAAAGCGATGATTAGAATTGTATTAAAACCTACACATATAAAAGTAACTTTATAGATTTTCTTTGTTCTTGAAAATCGGCAACAAAATAATAAACTAATTATTTATTAGATTATTTATTTACACTAATTATTGTTTATTGGAATGGTTGACAAAACATTGGCTAATTGCCAATTGATTCGAACTTTATAAAATGGTAAATAATAAGGATCTCTTTATAGCTGGTTCATATATTTTAATAATTTAGTTAATGTTTATAAATTTATGAATAAAAATTGTTTTCATATTTATTTCTTTATAAATTGGTAAATGATAGATATTGCATCATTTTTAGAATGTTGCAAATATAAAATTATTCTTGTAAATAAACAATCTAATAAATAAAATAGTATGTAATAATTTCGTTGGAAATTCTCAAGAACAAAAAATGTATGAATTCACTTTCATCTTATGTTTAGCTTTTATTATAATTTTAATAATCGCTTTTTAAAACAAATATTGCAGAGGGAGTGAAGGTAGTTAAAATAATACCGGTGTCAATGGAAAAACCGTCCTTTTGACACTCCGATTTTTTTTAGTTTTTTTGTCTGTGTGTTTTTACGGGCACGAACGGCCAATTTTGTCTGACTTTCCTTGAACCAAGCAGCCAGTGCTATTCTCAGTTAAAATTTATAAAATCTTTCTATGAAAACAATTTTTCAAGAAAATAGGCTTCTCAAGTCCAGTAACTGTTATCGCTCTTTCCAGTATTAATGGGCAGGGGATTTCTTCCTAACCTTTCTATTTCAAGTAGTGTGAAATGTCAACACCTTGATTATGTCATTATTTTGTCTTTGATTTACATGTGTTATCTATTTAAGATGTTGAAGCGGTTGAAAGTCCTCAAGTGATGTGGTTTCTGTTATCTGATACAATACTTTGTTTGTGATTGTAGCATCAATCCACAATTCTCGAGGAAGGGTTGTCTTCGTCAA